ACAAAAAGCCTATGACTTTTTTCCCGCCACAACAACTTTCACCTTTTCTATTTGGTTAAAACCCCATTTTGGTCCCTAAACTATTGTACGGACCCTCAATTTGGTCCCTAAACTAAAAAAATCTCTAATTTGGTCCCTACTGTTTACCATTTTGACCCCGATTTGGTCCTTCCATTAAATATCTGCCTACGTGTCTTGTTACTTGACGGGGAAAAGGATGACATGTTAAAACATTTTGACACCTAGGATGTACAGCGTGGCAAAAAAATGAGATGGCAAGAAATTACCTTAAAAAATTTTTTTTTTCTTTCTTTGTTTTTCTTTTTTGCCTTTCTTCTTCCTCTCCCTTTCCTTTCAATTTCTGCAAACCCTAACATTTCCTAATATTAAATCCGAGAATCACAACAAACCAACATATAGAAATCAATAGATACTTCGATCCAACTGCAGTTGGGTTGGAAACAAAACCCAATGCTTGTTAGGTTTGAAATCGAATTCAGCACCTGCAAGAATACGAGGATAACACAACAGATAACAAATCCATAAATAGATCGAACTCAACAGATCCATGGACCCAACGACTGTTGAGTTTGAAACAGAACCCAACAAACAACAGATTGATAAACAAATGGAACTCAACAGATCCATGGATCTAACGGTTGCTGGGTTCGAAACGGAAGCCAGTGCCTCCTGGGTTCAAAATCAAACCCAGCACTTTCGAACCTAGCACCTGCAAGAACCCAGCACCTATGCCTTCTTCATCTTCATCCACCTGCAAAAACCCAACGACTGCCTTGCCTTCTTCATCTTCATCAATCAATTTCTCATATCATCAAACAACAAAACCCAAACAAAGAAAACAGAATTTTTTTTTGTTTTTGGAACCCACGGCTGGGTCTTAAGGAACCCAGGCATGCTGGGCATCGAACCCAGCATGCCTGGGTTCAACGGATCCTAGGCGTGCTGGGTTCCGTCAAAGTCGAACCCAAGCGCCGAAGTCGAACCAGGCCGCACCTGGGTTCCGCTGAAGTCGAACCCAGGCCACGCCTGGGTTCGAAGGGGGAAAGAGAAGGGGAAGGGGAAGGGGAAGGAGAGAGAAAAGGAAAGAGAAGGAAAAAGAAAAAAAAAATTTTTAAGTTTAATTTTTCATAATATTTTTTTATATTATTATTTTTTCCATGTCATCACTATTTTTGGTCTTATTGTCTTTCACATGTATTAATATTTGACATGTCATCCTTTTCCCCGTCAAGTAACAAAACACGTAGGCAGATATTTAACGGAAGGACTAAATCGGGGTTAAAATGGTAAACAGTAGGGACCAAATCAGGGATTTTTTTAGTTTAGGGATCAAATCGAGGGTTCATACAATAGTTCAGGGACTAAAATGGGGTTTTAACCTTTCTATTTCCTGCTACCTCTTGTGCTTATTATGCCCATCTTATCTCTTTTCAAATTAAGTATACTCTCGAAGAAGGACTACAGTAATTATAGTGGCATGACTACTTATTAGAGTCACACAATCAAATTAATTTTTAATTTAATTTAATTATTAAAAATAATTAATAATTAATACATAATTAATATTTTTTAATAAATTAAAATTAATTTATAAATAAATATTTTTAAATATCATAATTAATTTTTTAATAATAAAAATTATGTATTAATAAAAAAACAATTAAATTGTGTAGTCATAACAATTATTCCAATAAAACCCGCAACTTTAAAGAAATCAATCTCTCAATCTTCAACTACTTAATTTAAGCTTCATTGGTATAATACGATGACGTAACATTGATATAATTTTAATTACATATAAAATTATTATGATAATAAAAAATTTTAAAATAAATATTTATTATTTCTTATAAAAAAATCCTCAACAAATACCTTACAATTTTTTTTTTTTAAAGCTTCACTAGATATTTAATAAGATTTTTAGTTATTAAATCCACGCATGATGAGGATCAAGGGTGACATACGAGACTATACATCAAAGTAAAAAAAAGAGTGACATAGGACTATTTTTTCAATCAGTGTTAAAAAATTGTAAATTGATTTGACAAAATACTTTTTTAAATCATAAAAAAATAAAGTGGAAAAGGAAATCACCAATGGTGTATTATTGAAGCTTCAGGATGTAATAGAAAAGAACATCACGCGTATTGTGGAAATTAACCATGACCTAATACTAAAACAGTTGGCCAGACGCTGTAATATACCATATTCTACTTAAGTAGCAAGAAAAAAATGGATTGTGACAAACTAATCCATGGTTTTTTAAGCAATTCAGAAGCAAAACCGTATTAGGGAACTATATATATATATATATTTATCTAACAACGCTTTTTGATATTTTTTATTTTAAAAATATATTAAATATATTTTATATATTTTTAAGATATTAAAAAAAATTCTAAAAAAAAAAACCAATAACTATAGTTATAAATCAATACCCCCAAAACTAAATCTTACATAATTAAGATAAAACAATAAAAAATTTGTTAAGAGCCTGTTTGGTGTGGCTGGTGGGAGCTTTAGCTTTTTGATTACTGTTATGAGTGATAAGTTTAAATTTTTATTGAAGGGAAAATAGAGTTTTAGTTTTTAAAAATGTGAAAAAGTAAGTGAAAAGTAAATAAAAAGAGAGTTTATGAAAAGTTTGGATTTGAAGCTTTTGAGCTTTTACTGTTTAAGAGTTTTTTGAGGTTAAAAAAATATTTAAAAGTGTAAACTTTTAAGAGGAAAATTTAAATTCATGAGACATGAATAATGTGCAAAATCTGAAGCTCCTAGGAGCTGCACCAAACATGCCCTAACTTTGTAATAGCATTATAGTAGTCTTGACTTTTACTTCTTCAAATTCAAATGGCCAATTATATTTTCAGTATATATAATATTTTTATTAATTTAAACACTTTAATTTAAGTTGTTGGAAATAAAATTACCTTTCCTTTACATTTACTCCCTCGAAACAGATCGAATATTAACGTTTGACAAACCAAATGCCACAAAACAACAAATGAGGAAAGGAAAGTAAGGGACAAGTTTGAACTCCCAACTGCAAGTGAAGGAAGGAAGGAAGCCTATTGGTTGAGTATTAATTAAGTTGGGCCACCTAAACTGCAAATATGGCCTGCCAAGGTACAATATCAATGGAAAGAAAAGAAACTGATTAAAATTTACAATTTTTTTTTACAAATATAATTTTATTTATTATTTAATAATTAATTATTTTTATTTTATTAAAATTAATAATATATATTTAATAATATA